ACAATCCAACACTACAAAACCACCTTCTACATGTACAAATCCATAACATACATAACCATTATTTATACGAACAGAGTTACCACAAAAGTTCAAACTGAAACCTAATTTTAAAAGAACAACGGAAATTAAGTTCCTTCGTATCCCCGGTACAAACATGACATCATGAAGGAGAATTATACGGCCACCAAGCAAATGTAGCTAGCACATACAGATCCCTTTCACCTCCACTCTATCATCGTTGCCGACGTATATCCACTTGTACAAGCTGGAAATCGACGGAACTTCACAAATGCTTCTCTATCCTTGGTTACATGGTTTGTTGCTCCTAAGTCTACAATCTACATAGGATAAGATTCAGTTAGCATAATAGTGCTCGAAACAAAAATACCACTAAAAGAAGTATTTATAAGAGCTACCTTCTTTGGCTCAGGGCATTCCCGAGCAAAGCGACCTAGCACCTGACAGTTGAAATATTTCAACTTGCTCTTATCTTTCTTCTTTCCAAACTATTTACCATTTTTATTGCGTTTTGTTTTGTTCTTTTAGGACCATGTCCGGTTTCTTTTTCCTTTCCTTTCCCGCCTTTGAACTAGTTTTTCTTATGCTTAAAGTCTGAAGATTTTTCAGAACTAGTTTCAGCTACAAAAGCATGTCCTAGAGATTTAACCGCGCCAAGGCGCTCATCCTCTAGTTCCACATGGCGGGCAGCATCAGCAAACGTTTTGATGCTATCATTGTGAGTTAGATTGACTTTTAGATGTTCTCAATTATCAGGAAGGAAGATGATTAAAGATTGAACTTGTTGCTCATCAAAGAGCACGTGACCAGCCGACTTCAATTCCCTAATCATAGTAGACATGATCCTCACATGCTATTTGATGTTGTGATTAGGAAGTTTCTTGAAAGTATCAAAGTTAATAGTCAGCTGTCTCAAACTAGTCACGCTAGTACCACCATATTTCTCCCTAAAATGTCACTAGTACCACCATATTTCTCCCTAAAATGTGTCCAGATGTCATGAGCAGTCGGGATCTACTCACATTCATAAATGAGATCATCCACCACGGAACTTACCAAAATTCCACGAGCAGTGGAATCTTTCTTTTTTCCATGTCTGGTAAGTTTCCTGATCCCTTCTCTTTTGAGTAGTTTGACCTACCCCTAGGTCTTCCATCACGTGGTTAATGCCCTCAAGGCAATCCTGTTCCTCCAGCATATACCAAATTTTATGGCGCCAAATGTTATAGTTAACGCTATTCAATTTGTCACCCTTATTAAGGCCAGCTATGATATTCTTAGATGCCATGGTCTGTTAAAAATATTTCAGAGACAATCATATAAATATCCATTTATGCACACATAATTTTGCATTCATGCAAATTAAGGTTTACGATAATTTCACACTTGACACGAAGTTGAAAGTTCACTAAGTTCTCAATCATCATCCAATATCATAATGTTACATTTTCACAAAATTAATTTTATAGTGCAAAATCATAGGTTCTAGGTCAGAATTACTCAAACTCCTTTAACCTTAGAACTCCCACTAAATTAAACTATTAATGTACATGTTTTTTTGTCCATTTTATAAAACTGATATACACTATTTATAGAAACATATATATAAATCGCAAAATGTTAAATATGTACATGCGATCATATTAAGCATCTTTAAGCAACCACTAAACCTGGAAAAACAAAAATTTTACATAGATATGGTTCGACAATTTGAACTAACCATACATATTACAAAATTCTCATTTTCTGAATTCTATTTCTTCATCAAGATCTTGATTAAATAACTGTAACACAGATGTGACAAATGATCCAAAATTTCAATAGCAACATCATGCCAATGTTTAGGAAGTGTCCTCATTAGATGATACATATTTTCCACCTCACATATAGGCTGTCCCAAATGTATCACTTTTCGACGCATTGCTTTGAGATATTTTATGTGTTGTACTAGTTATGTCGTGAATCCATTTCATAGTTTCTATAAGCACATAATTTTTCAACACGTTCCACAACCCGTGCTTTTCTAGTTTTTCCTCTAAGGATGCTAAAAGTGTGCATTAATCCAATCATATCTAATCAAGCATAAGAATTCGAAACTAGTTACAATGGATCACATAGCCAATCAAGATCCACATAACTTATGAATGTATAGAAAATGTGGTATATTAAATACTTTCGAAGTATTTTCCATTTAAAAAATGAGAATAAAAAAAAAAATTAGCTCCCACTAGGCAAATACCACTTAATAAATATTATTGTCTTTAAAAAAAATTGATGANTATATATATATATATATTATTAAACAACTTTTCAAATTGGTATTAGAATAAACAACTTCCAAAATAATTTTGAGACCAATATGTAACATTCAAAAGTGTGGGGACCATTATGCAATTTCAAAAAAGTTGCATTTGAAATATTTTAAGGGACCACTATTCAATTTTCTCAAAAATTGAATTTTGGAATTACTCACCTCTACGGCAACAATTTATGCTTCTGTAAAAAAATTTTTTTTTTTTAATTCGCTGGTATTGTTCATCGCGGGTTACTGTTCATCTTCCCAAAAAAACAGTTTGTTCAGATTTCTGTCGAAACTTCAATAGGCCATAACTTTTTCAATTTAAGGCCAAAAATTATGTTCTTTATATCATTGAAAAGCTCTTAAAAAGATATATCCAACCATATAGAATGGGCAGCGTGGAACTTAACGTGCAGGAAGTTATCATGCGATGAAGTTTCAATTTTCTCAACTAGGGTTCGATTTTTCTCCCAAAATACAAATTCAAACGAAGTGAGATTTTTCAGATATGCTCTCCACAATATTACGAACATACAGTACAAATTTTATGAATTTATACAAAGTATATCAAAAATTGTCATTAACGATGTTCAAGCTTTTGGAAGAAAATAACATACATGCGTTTTAATCATTTCGACTCATCTCCAGCATGAAATTAAGCAAGAAAATAACCTACTATGGCTCTGATACCAATGTAAAACATGCTTGCATGCTTCTAGCAGAAATTCAAATTGTAAAACTTACTTGAAATCACCAAAACGAGGTTGAATCACTTACCTTTTGTTTGCTTGTCTTCTGCACTGCTTTATACTCACTCATTGGTCAGAAATTCGTTCACTAAGAAAGGAATTTGATAATATAAAGCACTCATTGCTGTGTTGAACTTAGCTAAAGAAATCAGGACCACAAAAGCAAAATTTCATAGCAATTCTCAGCTAACTCTAAATCAAATTCAAGGTACTTTCCTAGCTAAGAACATTTTATCTAAAATTAATCAAGTAACTCTATAGCAAGTTTAAAGAATTCCCAATCACTCAAGTGACATGAACTGAAAACACCCAAGAGGATGTATTAGCCGACCTCTGGAAAACCACCAATTCTAATAAAAACAAACCCATCTGGATACTCTACTTACAGGCCAACAATTTAGAAACCATTGAAATTGAAATTCACAGCATAGCAAAGGAACATTATTGAATGACATCGATCATCAAGTACTTGAAAAGTGATGATCTACCATAATATAAGAGTAAGCCTCAATGTGTCAAGGCTAAGGTCGTCCGATATTCCATTATAGGTGAAAGGTTATACATGAGATCCCTCTTGGGGACCTATCTTTGATGCTTTGATAGCATTAAGGCCAAGTATATCTTGGTTGAACTTCATGAAGGAGAGTACGATAATCACTATGGAACCCAAAGCTTGGCACACTTGTAGTCAGGTAATATTAGCTAACAATACATGAAATTGATTATGTCAAAATATGCTATACATGAAATAGATATGCTCATGTTTCCTACCTTTTAGCATATATAAGTTAACCTGGAGAATTTGGGCCATTGTACTTTCAGTCGCCTTTATATGTCCTAGCTCCTCATAATGAGTTCGTTCGTTGTGGAATATAAGACCTACGCCTAGGCCTATCACGCCTTAGCAAAAAAATCCCGATGAATCTATCAAAAAGAGTAAACTGTTAAAATTTGGGTGTGACCCGAATTCTTTGTTGAATTAATTGAAAAATTTTAATTGAAGTGCACGTCATAAAGAATTCAAATTTGGAATATTATTGGAGTCCTACGTTATGTTGAATTTCTATTTTGGAAGCCCATTGAGAGTTGGAATTTGTTTTGGACTCAATTTTATGGTATCCTACTTCATCAACAACTTTATTAGATGGGTTTGGATATCTCATACTTATTCCCTATAAATACTAGACTCTTCTATATAATTTTATAATGTAAGAAAATAGATTACTAGAATTATATGATTCATTGTAATTTTCTCTCTTCTCCATTATTCTTAAATCAATAAAATCTCTTAATTTATCAGTCATATTCTTGTCTTCTTTATTATTTTGTTTAATCAAATATTTCATTATTATTTGTCATATAATTTCAACATCTCAATCCGATAGTGCGTTCCACAACAATTGGTATCAGAGCTATTTAGGTATCTTGATTGTTTTGCAATAGAAACAATAATCGAAGTATCATTTATAGAAGATGACCTCTAGGCAACCACGCTAGTCACTGGAGAAGAAGCAGCATGTATCTCCGGCTAGCTTGACAAAGTAACATGGAGTGTGCCCTCCGCTTGGATTAGATCCGTGTACAATAGCTAAAGGCAAAATTGGTCTTCACCCTAGCCATCCTCCTAGAATAGGCATTAGACACAGCTCATTTTGTTCTTTATATGGGCTAACATTTTCTTTATTGCATTTCTTTTTAATTGTAATATGTTTCAAATCTTTGTTTATGTTGCACCTATATCTCCACCTTTCTTTGTTATATTTTTATCTTTAGGGTCTGTCTGATTGTAAATGTGGAAAATTGGT